GTTCTGTATTTTCTGCCCAGCCTTGACCAGAGATTTTCAAATGCTGCTTGGGGCAAGATGGAGGCATTTGGGTGATGCTGAGGTAGGTGGATCTGACACCCCAGAATGAACCTCACAGGGATGTTTTGTTTTCACTGCCACTAAGAATCTTGCTGTTGGTAGGGAAGGAAAAGAAAGAGGAGGCAGAGGAGGAGAAGGAGGAGGAGGAAGAGAGCACTCACAGTTACTGGTAGCATCTGTCCCTCGATGACTCTCAGTGAAGCTCTGAGACAAGGATTGATGGTGAAGGAAGGAGAAAGGACTATCTGGAGAAGGCACCTTCTTTGTTCCAGCACCCAGACAGTTGTACCACATTCCTCCCCACCCACAGCCAGCCAGAGTAAGGCATCACTAGTAGGAGGCTCAAAATCAACCAAAGAAAGAGCAGGCTGACCCCAGCAGCAGAAATGGGAATCGCTTCTGTCAAGCTGCAAAGGGGAAACTTGATTTCTCCTTCCTCAGCCCAGCAGTTCCACTCCTCCAGGCCTGAATCTTGCTGCTGTCAAGACATTTCTGGTTTTGCTGTCATTTGCTGTCAAATGCATCATTTTGGCTCTGAATCACTTTTATCCCCTCTCAGAGACTTGCACATCTCTCTCCTGATATTTTTCTGGTTAACTTGACAAACAATTTGGGTTTCAATTTGATCTCTCCTGGAACAGCTGGTCCCAATATTGCTAACTTTATTTACCACTCAACCAGCATCTCCAACAAGCATCACTAACAGACTTTTCCAGTTCTAGAAATAACTACCATGTAATTAAGTTCATGATGAGCAGGAGGAGAGCTGTCATCTCCCTTGGAGCTGTTGCACCATGTCAGCTGGTCAGGCTCGGAGCTCATACATGTCCCATCACACTTCAAAGGCAAGGTACACAGGAAACACCTGCTGCATTGCACCACAGCACCACTAGCCTCCTCCCTAGCCGGTGAGTACTTCTGGACACTCAGAAGAACTTGATGCAAGAGCCAGCTCACCTCTCCTACCTTCTGCCAAGGTGACTCACTTCAAATCACAACTTTCCCCCTCTCATTTCAAGCAGCACAGGACCAAGCAGGTCTCTCTCTGTACTGAAGAAGACACTTGATGCTGGTGTTCAAGGTGCCAACAGCTTGGCTACTGTTTTGCTTGAGTGTGGTCACAGTGTCCTTCCCCACAGCCTGTATGTGTCCTTAGAGTAGGAAGAAGCTGTTGCACAGAGGCCCAGACTCGTAGATAAAACAGGGGCAGTTCCCGCCCCTGCAGAGCACAGGCTGAGCCACGCTGATCATAAGCTGCTTCTCCTTTATCAGGAAAAGAGAGCAGCAGTGGGCTGGTGCTAAAGCAACATCTGATGCTTCCCAGCATGGAAACAGACCACCAGCAGGAGTGGGACAGCAGAGCTGGGAGAAGGTGGCAGCAATAGAGAAGATCTTGATAAAAAGCTGTCTGCAAATGTCTCTGATCTTACCAGCCAGTTGGCCTGAGGGTGGGATGGGACATCACCCGGTGGGGCGGGCTGTGGGGCACACACCTCCCTGCAGCGTGGCCGTGGCTCACATGCAAGAGGCAAAGTGTATCAGCGTAGCTTGGAGAAAAATGGCCTGTTCTTCCTGAACAGGAAGCAAACAGGTGTTTTAATCCAGATCCTCTGGTCTGGCTGTAGGCAAACCAAGCATGGCGATCTTGCTCCCCTCCACGCTAGGTGTTGAGGTCATGGTGTTTGGAGAAGTGATGATCCTGTCTCTTCCACAAGATGAAAGAGGGCAAACTTTCCCCCAAGCAGGCAGCATCTGATAGACCTCAAACAGACCTGTGTAGACACCCACACATGAGTTTCTCACCCTACGTATTTGTCACTGCAGTAAGCTCTGCACGGCTCTTACCTAGGAAGTGACTTAGTTCACCAGTGGGCTCGTTACTGATGCTTCATGGAAAAATCAGAGAAGTAGAGGGTTACCATGGAAAGTGTTTTCACTAACAACCCAAACCACATGCCCACCAGAGTTCAGATGCAAAAACACCGCAGATGCCTTGTGCCTATTTAGGGGTAGTGTTGCCCAGCTGATGGGGGCTCTAATGAAGGCAGTTCAAGTTCATTAGTTCTGCTTTCTTAGGAACAGATAAGTCAGTCTGTTGCTTTTAAGTGGAATGCTATTATGTTAATACAGCATCAAGAGGAAGTCCTTCATCTTCAGAGAGCTGCAAGAAAAGCAAGGCTTTGCAAGCACCTGCTCCACCTCTACCCTGGGTCACCTTCAGCCAAGATATTTCATCAGGTGGCAATGAGCATGTGCTCACATAATCCTGCACCAATACGTCATTTGCTAGTCGTTATAGAGTTGAGTCAGCACATGTGAGCCCAGACAGTAATTTTTAACCCATCCTTTCAGTCCCCGACTCTGCTGCCAGATAGGTCAAGCTGTAATCATGTTTCAAAGACTTAAGGGTGAGTGTTTGGGAACTGGATTTGAGGGCAGTGGGTGGAATCCCTCCATTCCCCTCCCACTGTACAAAGTGCATGCACACCTTGCTATGGAGAGACGTGGCACCTGGCCCTGCGGCCAGCAGCGAGTCCTGTGATCACTGATGACTTGCTGGGGATGACGCACATCGGCCAACCTGTGATGCCACAGTGAGCAAAGCTCAAGACAGGGACAAGGGCGGGTGGAAGGGGGAAGAAAATGTTGCAGAGCAAGATCTTAATGCCATTTGGATTAAAGAACTGGGCTCTGAGCTGGTTATTGCTCACACAGCCACTCCCTCCAACACTCTGTAATTGTGAGCATGCAGACACCATCAGTGTGATGGACACGTAGCAATTACAGAGCTCTCCAAAACTGCATCTCAGCAGTTTGTTGTGAAGCTGAGGCAGACCAAAAATCAGCAAAGTGATTTTTGGGTAATCCTCCTGCCAAGGATTTGCAGGAAGCTCACAGGACACAAACAGCTTCTCGGAGGAGAGCAATTGAGCAGGGAGTGGAGCCAATAGCAGTGCAGGTGGGGGAAGGCACAGCCTCGCTCCTCCTTGGCTTGGCAAACGGGACACTGGAGTACAGAAGCATCAATTCAGTGCTTGGCTCCAAGCGTGGTTCAAAGTGCACTTAAAAAAAAAAAAGTCTATGAACACTTTAAAGTGCCATAAAAATCAAACTGCAGCCAAAGCCTCCCTGACTGTTTGTATTTTGTTAGCACTGTCCTCACCAATACTGGCTGAACATTTAATTCAGCCTCTTCCCCTCACTCCTGCAGCCTCGCATAGGAAGAGGAGAGTGGGCAGGTTGGAGACAATTCCAGGAACATGTTGTTCTCCCCTCCTCATCCTGCCAGCAACCACTCTGCACTGGAAAAAGCTCATGAAACACAACAGGAGAGGAGAGATTAGGCTGAGGACTTCTGAAACATCCCCTTAGAAGTACTCAGGAGTTATCTCAGTGCTAAATCCCAGAATAATTTTTAAAAGCCCACGAAAGGCTGGATTAAGACCCCGGAAGTGGAAGCAATGCCATAGGAGAAGGCTGGGGCAGGCTGGAGACAAAAGAGGGAACCATTGCCTTTCTCCACCGGTCCTGGCCCACTTCATGCCAATATTTTGGTACAATCCCGGCTTTTTTACCTCCAATAAGTTTCATGGGACATCTCCGTCCCATCCTTCTTAGAACTTCCTGTATCCACCTGCGAAGACCATCCTCCAAGTCGCTCCAGACGCCCTTCCTGAGCCTCAGAAACAACAGTTACATGAAGGAGATAAGAGGGATGGGGCAGAAGGACTCACTAAGTGGAAACTTTTTATTTAAAGAACTTGATGGTGTAAAATAAAAGCTGGGGCAGCAGAAAATGCTGAAGAATGAACATGATCAAGAGGTTAAAAATCCTTATGAAGGTACCACTGAGGTGGCACTGAAGGTTATGGGGAATGATGGGACTAGACAAGACGGGAGAGCTCCTGTACCTCCCATGGGACACTGCCTGCAGCAGTGGTCCACCCTTATTAAAGCACTTATTTTTCACAAGGTGGCCTCAGCCTGGCCCCCAGGACTCATAGGGAGGCATGAACGTCCGCCTCACGCCGAGCTACCGGCCAGCACAATTAAAAGCTTCAACCTAAATACAAAGGGGCAGCCTGCTCTTTGGAGCTGTTCCCAGAATAACCCCATAGGCATCAGAGAGAAGAACACTTAGAGCCTTGCCTGGACATGTGTCTAAAAATCTCCAAAAATAGCTCCTGCTTCCCCTTTGAGAAACAGTGCGCGTCCCAGTGCCTCACAGGAACTCTGTTTCTGCTCAGAGAAGCCACAAAATAAGTGAGCAGCCCAGAACTGATCTACGAGCACATCTGGAATAGCTGAGATCAGCCTTATGGAGAAGAAAAAAAATAAAGGTTTTAAACAACATGTGTCAAATCCAGGGACCTTTTATTTCTCTGGAATGGAAAGAATTTGCCAGCCTGGACAAAAAATTGCAGGCAGCAATTGTACATTCTTTCAAATTAAAAAAAGAACACACACACAAGAGTTTGGCTCTGTAAATTTCTGTCACAAGAAACAACTTTGAATTGTACACCAAGCTTTTTACAAAGCATCAATGTTAAGATGGTTTACTGTGCTCTATCACATCCTCAGCCATTTATACAGAATACGCCATACCGAATGCTACATCAGCTTAAGACATTTGTAGAAATTAGTTATTAAAAAGATACAAAGGCATGTTGGCTTTCATTTGGGTTTTTTTTATTAAGACACGGGAGTTTTCTTTGTTTGTTTTCCTAAGGAAGTCACTAAAAAAATATAATAACTTAATTCGTAAGGACAAGATCGGTTAAAAATCCAGCCTTGCTTGCTTGGCAGCCTTTGGAGCTCGTACCTCTGTTGCTTCCATCAGTCTAACAGCACTGCACCCTGCAGACGTGTCCTGTGGGGCCTCAGCCTGCTCTCCAGCTCTGTCCATGCTCTCAGTTACCGTTTTTGTTCAGAGTTTTCACCGCTAAAAACAATCTTCAGCCAAACAGGGGATTTCAGTCGGGGCCAATTTCGCATGGGTTTAGCCCTTTGTCTTTTGCCTCTTTGTACATCCTTTGGAAGTCTTTAAAACGAGGGGCACAGCCTAACCTGGCCTCCCCAAAGTGCATGCGTCCTGTGAAAAGGAAGTCTCCATCTCCTGGTTTCACCCCACACTCCAACAGGGTCTTTATTTGTCCTCGCCAGTTCCCACTCTCCCCTGTGAGCTGAAAGACTTTGCTCTTCTGCCTGTACAGTTTGTTGACGCCCACGTGAATGATGGATTCTTGCTCTTCTGCCTCATTTGTTACATCTTGAATGGAGCCTCTGATCACTGGAAACAGAAAAAGGATGTAAGGAAGAGTTACCCAAAACCTCTCTGGAAGAACCAGCTCCAGACTCAGCCCCATGCAACCAAGCAGATCAAAGGCAACTGATTGCACTATAGCAGGCTCAGCTTTGGTTCTTTGTTATTTTTAGAGTTAAGTTTATTTCAAAGACCTCCAGCATATATTTGTATTTGTTACAGTTCATATTTACACCCTGTCCAGCAAAGGGCACCTACATATTAAATTTAAACACAAAAATAAATACATCAGAAAAATCAGTCATGATAGAGTTCCAACAACAAAATACATGCTTGATGCTCCCCGACAACAAACTTTCTGTTCTTCAGCCATTACAGATACCAGCGAATATTATTTCCCCTTTAAAAATGGAAGCACAGGGACTTAGTGAAACTTGTGGCCTTTTGTCAGCAGTCCATCAGCAAGCAAAGGCCTCTTCTAGATGCACCCAAGTCTTTGAACTTCTACTTCCATTGTGGTTGCTGGGTCATTCTCTGTCCAGCCTGGGGAAGGGCCAGCTGGGCACACAGTTTTAAGGTCCTTCAAACCATGTCCTTCTCCCTCTCCCATGCACACAGCCCCTTTAGACTGCATTGACTACTGGTGGAAGTTGCCACACCTAAGTAGGTGTCCATCACTGTTTATGGATATCACATTCAAGTGAGGGGAAAAGGGAGGGTGGAAGCAACAACTCACCAAAATCACTAGTGCAGACAGCCAAAAGGACTTCTGTGTCACTGCATGGTCGGCAGGGAGCTGCAGAGAGAGGGTCAGAGTCAACAAAGGACTAGAGGATAGTAAACGAATAAGCCATTATTTAAATTAACCAAAAACGGGGGACACACACACACACTCACACAAGACACAGGGACAAGTGGTCCCAAGACCTGTCAGGCTTCTATAACATTACAGGGAGTGGAGGCTAAGCCCAGCCCCATGAGGTTTTTGTACTTAAGTAGGAATATGGATCTCTTTAAGGCTCCTGCTGGGATATATTATCTAGCAAACACCCCACACACTTGCTGCACTTATGCAAAATATGTTTTGATACTGGGTGCATTTGCAGCGTGCCCTGCTATAAATTCAAAGATCTCAAGAAGGCTTTGAAGATCATGTGCCTTTTAAAGGCTGATGGCAAAGCTTCTTTCTTACAATTTCTATCAAGTGTTGTTGGGCTATTTCACAAGCCATTTAGTCTATCACCACATCAAAGATCCAGGAGGTTACAGAGTGGGGGAGGCAAAGAAGGGAGGAAACAAAACCCAGCACATGTGTTAGAGGGCGTCGAGGCAAAGCGGAAACTCAAGCCTGTATCTGTTAGAGCTCAAGCAGCACAAAGACCATTTCCTGTACTGCTGGAAACATTTGGATATCTGCACTAATCTAATCAATGCAAGAATGTGGCTTCTCTTTGTACTCAGCCAGCTATTTCTGAGGAGAAGGTACTGTAGTTGCAGTACAGATGTTTCTATAATACCCCATTGAGTTCAGGAATTTGCTTACTATCAGGGTCTGCCCTACCCAGCCACGCTAATTAAGCCTGTCCAAGGCGGCCCAAGGATCAGAGCCCATCTTTCACTTGATGTCATCTCAAAGTGGCACTTGCATATCAGTTAGAAAAATGAAAACCCATCAAGCATGCCATTCTGCCTGGATTAGTACAGGCAAAGACTACAGCAAAGCAAGGCTCATGCTGGAGAGGAGGCGAAGCATGGGAGCTACAGCTGATTTCATCCCACAGTCTGTGATCAAACCCTAAGCTGAAGCTACCCAACTCCTCCCCACTGCCCCCCCCCAAAAATTTAGTTTTTGTACCTCAACATCTGAAAACACTTACTTACCAGATTCCCAAATAGTCACACCCTTCCTCTCACCCCCACCCGCTTCCCAGAGAAGTTTATCCATTGCACTAAGAAGAACATTTCAACTAGTCTAAACAACGCATAGCTGGTGCCTACAAAGCTCCGTTATTAGCCTTCCTCTGTCAGACAGCACAAGCCATCCTGTAACGGAAGACACGGCAAATCTCCTATTTTTTTTTTTTTTTTTTCCAAGGTCCCAGAAAGGCAGTGATCCAGAAAGAAGGATTATTGAACCAAATCCACCAGATTTGCTCCAGTCAGATGATTAATACACAGTGTAACACCCTGTTTTAATAGGATTAAAAAGAATGTAAAATGCACATTTCTAGGCAGGGATATTTGAAGGAATAATTCAAGAAGGTTAAAAAGTTCCAAAAGAAGAGACAAGGAAGAGGCAAAATAGTTTTGTTAAAGCATCTGGATCACCTGGGCATTTATATTTAGTCCAGTCTGAATGCCTCCAGAGCCTTTAGACAAGTCAGCCTTTACTGCCCTTCTTTCCCCCACATATCATTTCATCTCTCTTTTCTGGAAAAGTTTGGAAACTGTTTAATATCATGAGAAATACAGAGCCAGGCAAAACCTGGACATAACTGGAATACTACAATAAATCCAGTCTAAAGATATTTTAATTTTTAAACTCAATAGATTTTGATTAGCATCTAGACCAAGTTTAATCTGACAGAGAAAATTATATTACTCACATAACATCCTATTATGGAGCCATTTCATTCACGGCATCTAGCAAATTCACCCAGGGCAAATGCCCCTCTTCCCCAGCCTCCTTCTGCCCAAATCAGGACCTGATTTAGATTGACCAAATGGAGATAACCTGCAAACCTGTGTGAATCCCACAGCATTTTCATACTGAAAGAAGCTTAAAAAAAAAAAAAAATAAAAGCACAATCGATGGACATCCTCAAAATCCACAGCTGGATTTCAGACACTGGATTTCAGATATTTGGTTCAGCAAAGATCTAATAATAAAAAGGCATCTCAGCCTTTTTAACTCTGAGTGAAAACAGTCTTCCTTTAGACTAGACATCTCTGTAGTTCGTCCAACTCCATCAGAAAATTGAAAAAAACCAAAATGACTAAGCCATTTTTGTTCTCAAAAGGAGTGCAACACAAGCGACAGCATTAAAGATGAAAAACAAAATACTTTAAAAGTGGTTCCTTCCATTTAAATAGACTGACACTGTAATAAATCAAATGAACAAATCTCCATATATACACAGAACCAAATCATTTTAATTGGGGACTCTAGGCAAAATCCTGCATCCTTTTTAAATGCAAAAGGAAATTAAAAGTGCTCAGCATTGCTCACACTAGATCATTACTTAAAACCTACTTCAGATCCATGCTGACTCACAGCAGTTTGGTGACATGCAAACTTCTTTAACAACCATCTACCACCACCCATCACTGCAATACCAGACATATGAAGAACAGAAATCCTCTTCTGTGGAACAGCTCCCACATCTGCATTCACAGAGTATCAAATATATCTTGCAAGTGGCAAAAACAAGGCATGCAAGCACAGATGGAAAGTGAGTCGGGAAGGATTACTGCCGAGGTAAATGGACCATTAAAAAGCAAGTAACACTCACTTGCAACAACCAAAGCTTCATTCTTAGACAGTGTCATAAAAGAAAAAAAATCCTTAGGAGGAGGCAATGCCTACTCTTTATTTTGAATCACAGCCATTAAGGAATTTGTGTGTTTAACGCCACAGATTAGTGATTTTAGCTGCAGTTCAGCACTCATTCACCCCTGGATTGGGCTACAGGTGTTCTTCTCCATCAGAAGGTAAAAACAATACACGCGCCTCAGGCTAAAATGGGAAGCACCTTTATAACTTAAAAAAAAGAACCCCAAAAGAAGCACTGCACTCGTGCACAGCAGGTGAAGATGTTCATTTCCTGGGCAAACAGGCCCAGTTCCTAAACAAGACGGCTGTGTTTGCTGGATGCCCGACTCCCTGGGGATGTCTCGAGGGCTGCCCAGGTTGTCGCGTCCAAAAGCAAGCCTATGAACTTGCAACAACAACAATATCAACGTCAGCTGCTCTAATTCCTTTAAAATCAGTAAGCCCAAGAGCCTTAATTCATACAGCAGCAGGGGAAGGGTGGAGAAAAAAACAAAAGGGAGAGAAAAGCAACATTTTATTGAAGCCCTCTAAAGCCCAGATGCCTATAACTCAACTCCACCGCCGGTGGCATAAAGCCTGCATTGTGCACGTCGGCTGCCGACTCTCCTGGGAATGCCTTTGATGGATTTTGACAGTATCCTGACCTGAAGTAACCTGAGGCAGCCCTCTCCCTCCACCCCCCCAGTCCAGTGCCTCCAAAGGCCTCTCTATTCACCTCCCCGCTGAGGGAGATGTAATTACATCATTCCTCACAAGCCAGCAGTCATGTCCCAGCTGCTTTGAGCGATTTGCCCTCTGAACCTGATGTTACCGGGGAGGACGTGGCGATGCTAACAATAGACTGCACTTGTTGGCCAACAGCTTTGTCAAACACGGTGCTGGTCCTCTCCGCGGGGAGGCAGAAACACTCAGGAAGAGAGAGGGACGTGCCCTGAGGAGACACCATGAGCTCCAGAAGGTCCCCAGCTCAGCCAGCATCACTGAGTTGACTTGTCCTTAAAGGATCTCCTCCAATCTCAGGGATGGATTAAGTACACCTTTAGTGCTGCAGTTCAGCACAAATCTCCTCTGCCTCGAGAGCTGCGGGTAGGTGTTGCTGTCCTCTCTCAGCACACACACACACACACAACTCCAGTCCTTCCTCCTTTGGTTTGCAACATTAGCACGCAACCCTTCTATTCCTCTGAAAATAGGAGCTGGGGGTTATTTGAAGGGCCATCGTCATGGTTGAGGATGACAGCTCCCTGCAGGACATATTCAAAGTGAGACGTGCTGGCTCTGGCTGCAGACATCATAGAAACCACATGAATGGGCCTCATCTTCTTTTGAAGCATTTGTGTCTCAACAGCCACCCATGGGTCTGACTGACCTCACCTTACCCCAAAACCAGCTTCTAACTCATAACTAAGAAGTCTCCTCTTTCTGAATTTTCTCAACATGCTCCACAACCTCACACTTATCAAGAAGACTAGATGAACCAGGCTGCAGGTCTCAAAACTCCACTTACTGAGCCCAAAAGAAGTTCTCCATCCACCCTACGTCTCTGGGTAGGCTCTGCTGAACATACATCACTGCTCCAGCAGCACACACAGGAAGAGAGACACCCTTTAAGCAGAAGTGAAAATGTTTAACACAAAGTAATTGCAGAAAACCGCTTTACCGAGGAATACCCTTTGGTTTTATTAAGCAGCTCGTACACGCGTGCGGTGTGGTAGAGGTGAGGATGGTGGGGGAGCAAAACATAGAGCTGGTTTATCTGCACTTCCAGTTTCCGTGGCACACATCACCCACACGTTAGTATTTCTGAAAAACCCTTTGAAGAGCAATCAGACCTTTTAAGTATCAAAAGCTACTGAGGAGGCCCAGGCAGGGCTGGAGCAATATTTTCTGTTAGTTCTAGGTTTAATTTTTTTGATTCAAAGTATTTTCCCTTGCATGCTCAGCAGAAGACATTCAAATGGGTCTTGTCACAGACTAGGTTGATTTAAGCTAAGCCAGCCCATGGTGCAGCACCTCAAGCTGCACCAGTGTGGGGCCATAGCAGACCCACCTCCCGGATGAAAGCTGTCAGCCTGACATCAGCATTAGTTCATATGGAACAAAAAAACCCACCCACACCCTTCAAATTCTTGCTGGCAGCTCTGTAATTGCAACCATACTGGAAAGGGCATCACAGGATGAGTCTTCTTCCTGGAAACACGGAGTACAGACTTCCGAGAGCAGATTATAAAAATAGAGATGCAGTTTCTCCAGTGATGGTGTATTTCTCAGTCATTTTTCTGAGTCCTAAAGCAGAAATTACAATGTCTCAACCTATTACTGGATCAGTGATGTAAGCTGGGAGACAAGAGTTTAAGGGTAAACATCATATGAGCAAGAAAAAAAAAAAAAATCTTTCCCTGATCCTGTTTTAACTAATTAAAAATTAGAATAAATCCTTGTAATTATTTCTTCCTAAGTTTGCCTAGGCTTTCTCTCTGAAGAGACAACACTTCTGCCATGAAACAAACCTCTCACAGCTCATATCCCAAACAAAAAGACCTGCTACTTTGCAGTGGAGGTGGACAAGAATTTGATTATCACCCTGGCTTACCAGGCTTTAACTAGTCATCTCCTTTCTAGATATACCTTCAGCTTTCCTCACCCCCTCAGAAAGCTCTTCCTGAGGAAGCCAAAACAACATTCAACCTCAAAACACTCACAACCCCCACACTGAAACACCATCTAAGCTACATCAATGCATCTGCAGGTCAATGCATCTCCGATTTAAAATGAAGGTGCAAGCTGGGAGCTCAGGGCAGCAGAGCTGCATCCAGCACACCTGCTGTTAACATAATACCTGCAGCCACGCAGGGAGGGAAAACCTGGCCAGAGGACACAGAGCATCCCCGCGGCTGGGCTGGAAGTTACTGACACCCCGTCATAACACACAGAGGAGCTCTCTCATCACTCTTTTGTTTTACAAGGTTTTCCTGTCTTTGGCTGGGATAGGATTACACGGCTTTCTGCAAGCACTGCACTTTTTCCAGTGTGTCAGTAGGAAAACGCCAAGTCAAGGAGCAAGCACAAGAGTCAGACTTGCGCTAGTCCCAACCCCTTGGCTCCAGAAGCCTTGGACACAGGATCCAAAGGGATTGTGCATCTTCATTGAATAGAAGGTTAGTGCTGTGAATAACATACTGAGAGACTTTAGTGCTTTTCTGAAGGCAGAATTCATCCCCATGTTTGCTAGAAAGTTAATCTGAGTCCCTGAGCAGAAAAGGTAGCTCAGAACAAGGATCATAAGCAAAGGCACCAAAATAAAAGACTCCCTTCTACAGCCAAAACACAGCCAAGGTTTGGTACTGGACAAGATGGTGATTCAGCAGCTGGATCAAAACCCTTATGATGCA